AGCATTCCTTTTGCTTCGATAGAGCAGGGACCGTCAGCTCAAGCGACTAGAGGATTGGGTACGAATGCGGCGACGATACATGTACTTGTATACTGGGTTTGTTGGGCCCTGAATCGCATCTTGAGCTGCGACTAGCCATTTGCTAGTAGCAAATGGACTGGTCTCATGTTGAGACTCTTAATCGAGCAGCGTTAATGCAACGTTATATAATCGTTTTACAACTTCACGTTAGCGCAACGCTAACGACATTAAACTGGTATCTACTGGTTTATCGGTGTTCTAAATGTAACAATAGGAGCAAATTTGACGAAAGATTTTCATCAAAAATAGAGACAATAGTTACCCGGACATAGCAAGCATTTAAAACTGCCCCCTAATTTTCTCTGACTACAAATCTCACAATCTACTTAGCGATGATGAAGGATCGCGCAGGCGCTGAGTCCAGCGCGGGTGACGAAGGAGCAACCAGACCGCGGTCGGCCCCGCGACTTGCGCAACTGCTTGCTTGTTCTCGAGTCCAAGATATAGCAACGATTCAGGAGAAGTTAGTGGAGATGGAGAAGTACACGCGCAAGCTGGCAGCAGTTCAGGGCGAGCTGAAAGATCTGCTGGACCAAGAAATCGAATGTGCGAGCGAGCTGTCCTCCCTGGCGTTTTACGAGGCGTCTTTGGGCGACAAATATGTCCCCTCGCTGTCAGTACTACTGGCCGAATGCTGCAAGACGATGCAAGACAAGTAAGCCCGCTATAGTCAAGTTACCGTTGCTCTAATATAACGTTTCTTTTTTAACGTTGCTGAAAGTTAGCGTCGTTCGTATATAACGTCGTCTACAGAATAAAGTTATTCTTCTTATTCGATAGTATGGTGCACTTCTCTGCAGAGATTACCAAGTGAGCACAAAGCACCTATAAGGATTTTATTGCAGAGTGATCTCGACGCAATGACCGACAGCGAACAAAGCAAGATGTCCGCTTGGGACGTTCCAAGACGCATTAGGAGCGCTCAGCGACGTCGAACCTGTCGGATGCAGCCGCAGCGTGTTCAACGTCCACCGACCCAAGCTCAAACTGTCCAAGTTCAAGCCCGCCCCGCTCAAGCTCCAGGCAATGTTATTGACTTGTCTCATGAGGGCGTTATTGATTTAACAAACGATTCGGACCAAGATTAGTATGACAAGATATCCAGAAAATACGAGTTGAAGTTTGAAGTGAAATCTGTAACAGTCAATACATTTCACTTAGCTCCAGTTTTTTTTCTTACCTCCTTTTGAGAAAGAACTGGCCAACTGCCTGCCTATCTGTTTAGCTTCTTCTTTCTCAGCTTCCCCTACAGGCTCACGGCGTGATCTGGATAAGATAATCCACATCAACCTCAACCGCATCACTTTAATAACGTCTCTCGTTACAGCATCGACCGTGAACCCACGTCCGCCATAGATGAAAGAGTACGTCATTGCTGCGACCATGACACCGCAGCTGTATCCATTCGGCTGGGCCGGCGACATTAACCATTCAATGTCCACGTGTATTGGAAACGGGTGTTCTTCTTGCCGTGTCCCTTCGCATTCCCACTGAGAATGCCATTCTCGTAGATATGGCAGCATCTTCCTCGTCCATATTTTCTCCATATCTGATCTGTAAGACGCAGTACATAGCGGGTCGTACATGTACACTGTCATCGCACCATGTCTGTGCACCGCTACCAATATGAGCGTCCAGTGGCATTTCTCGATGTTGACGGGCAGAGCAATAAATTTCATCGAGAAGAGCTTTGATCGCGGTGGAGACGGAAACTTCTCGCTACCGACCACAATAGACGACAGTGCGTGAACGCCAATCTGGTTGCATGTGATGACGTCTAAAGCGTAGTTCAACACGGCATCATTCAGCCACGCACGATCCGCAACATACCCTACCACTTCCTCAAAGTAGATTCCCTGCATAGGGATTTTGTGGTAGAATTTCGTGCGCAGGCACACTGTATCAAAAACCGCACTGACCCCAGAGGCTAGATAGACTAGCATCTGCTTTGATTCAGCTGATGGCTTACCCGACGAATCCGTCTCCTCCGCAAAAAACTCAACGGGGCGTCCTGTGACCTTCGCCCCATCCTGTTTTATCCAATCCAGGTCTCTTTCCCACATTTTGCAATTTTTCTTGACTCTGTAGAAAGTCTTCATTGTGTGGATGCATTCACTGCAACAACAAAAGGTAACAATAGTTAGCAAATGGTACAATAACGTTGCTGTAACAACAATAGTATCGTTTAAGCAACGTTACCGCCCATCTAGCAACGTTATCTGCCGACGTTACCGTGAAAATGGTTCCAGCTGTGGCGTCACCCATACCGCGAGCGTCTTATCGTGTGCAGAGCTGGGCGTTGACGTTAGATCCACCGCCTCCTGCATCTGGCCTCTCGTCTTTTGGTCCTCATTTCGACAAATCTCGTAGTTATTTTGCAGCTTGCAGTGAGACTATCAAGTCTTCCGGAATTACGTAACTATAGCAGTACGATGATGCAGCCAGCGGCGTCCCCTCTCTGACGCGGCGCACGCGGCCACGCAATGTTTGCTCATTCATAATACACGGATACTTTTCCAATATATCAGAAACGGCGTTCAACCCCGCTGTATGATGCGCCCATTTCACGACATCCGTCAGTTTTGCCGTCAGTCCAGTCGGATACTCTATTGCGATGTACCGAGCTTGAGCAGCGACCTTAGACCAGTTTTGTCGCAACTTTTTTCGTGTCTTGCCTTGACGGGGGTGCGGGATGTTGAGATTTATTCCTGTCCTCTTTGTGTACAGGGTGTTTTTAATCCGTGACTTTTCTTTGGTGCACACATTTTGACTTGCGATTGCTTTGTTTTCCTGTCCAGGCTCAGATGAACTCGAAGTCTCAATAATGCACTGCGAGGATTCGGATAGGTCCAGGTCTCCAAGAGAAACTTGAGATAAAGAGGCATCGTCGAACTCGGTGTACGTCGATGGTGCGAAAGTCGATAAGGGCATCTCTGCGGCTGTAATAGCGCCGTCATTGGCAAGATCGGCCATCGAATTGGCTGGTTCCATACAGTTTAACGTTGCTGCATCTGATAACGTTGCAGACGAGGGCGACGTTATCGGATTGAGTGACGTTGTAGCCTCTGTTGTAAGAGAAGGCTGTGTTGGTGGACAGTCGTCCTCACCCGTGTCGTAAACAGAATTCACTACCAGCTCCATTTCCTCCATCAGCTTCACCGTGTCGTGATAATCGGCGATGTCCACATCGAAATTCGCCTCCTCTGCACAAGTGTCTCTGTGACTTTCATCCGTAGACGTACCGGTACGGTGCACCGATTTCTCCACGAGATCTTGCCATTTCTCTAGGGCTTTGTAGAACTCAGCGCTAGATAAACTTTGTAAATGATTTAACAGAGGCTCAAACATGCTTTTTGCCATGACATACTTCTCCTCAGAAGACAGAGCTACGACATTCCCGCTTTCCCGGCGTCGAAGAAGGACGTAGGCTACTCGAGACTTGGAAGCTGGTTTGGATCTGATGGCGTTTGCGTCGCTATTACCATCTAGCGTTGCAGACGTTCTTGAGATTAACGTTGAAGCTGGTGAATCGCGGAAAGACGCAATATGCTTCAACTTGACTGTGCTTGTGACTGCTTCAATTGATGCCGCTCCATCCTCCATTTGACGATACAATTTGGTGGCCTCAGCCATGCTCCAGCGAGAACAAATCGTCATACTTGGCAATTCCTCAAACCCATGTCCATCCCGACAAACAAACATCACATGCTGACACGGCAGCTGTTGACTTTTTGAGAGGCACACGTGCAAGTCCAGTCAATGTCATTGCACGCGTACGTCTTTCTGTTTGCGACTATGTCCCACATACACGGCTCGCGGCTGCGCTTTTTGCACGAAGCGTCCTTTAATGCAGCCATGAACAGGTCCTATTGCTGACGAACTTTCCCTAGAACATAATCACTCAAGATACCTGCGCAAAAACACGGGTACTGTGTCTGGATTTCTTGATCTACAGTTATGTCTGTGGAATGACTGCAACACCTGACGGGTGATGGTAGTTTGGTAAGTCAGCACTCCAGCAACCGCTTGGTCCACAGCAGTTCTCTTTCCAAGTAACTGTTTTAAAAGGTGCCAATTGGACTCGATCCTATTTGTGGTAGTGTTCCCCGCGGAGAAATAGTTGTCCCGCAAATAGTTCGACCACATTTCTTGACATCCTTTCCAATTTTTGTCGAAGTAGGAGCGTACATTTTTGCTTTTCTTTTCACAGAAGTCACAGAACTGTTTGTACGTTCGATCGAATTCAGAAAGAGAAGGGCTACTAAAACGAAAACGTAACAAAGTCAGAATATTAAAATATAACCCTGCTATAAACCAATTATTTCTCTTATACCTATACAACATCGTAGCAAAGTATCGCTGTACCGTGTCTTGGTCCGCCACCTGCAAGCCCAAGCCACTTCGGCACATCTTTTTCCAATACGTGATGGCATGGAATTGGCACGGAGGACCTTCGCATTAGGAAAGCAGTCCTCCAGAACTCTTTTCTCGACGAAGTCCTTGTCAATTACGACAGTCCGGATTCGTACCCACGACGAGCTCTTGCTTTTGAAGAACTCAAAATTTTTCTGCAGAGTCACAGCCTTCTGGTTTAACGCCATGAAGTCGAGAACAGGAAAGCCTCGGCCAGTCGGCGTGGTTGCAACGAGGCTCCCCGTACGAGATATAATCAAATTCAACTACTTAGTTTCCACTGGAAATGACATGTAAGCGATTTACAGTGAAGAACTATGTTACCCAGATAATACCCGACGTTGTTGGTACCGTGCGTCCAGTCTATTGCCAATGTGTCCCCCCATTCTCGAACGCCAATTTCTGTTGAGCACTCTGGATGATTATACCACACGTAACGCCAATTTGATCCTCGATAACCATGGCCTCGCAGTCTTTTTCTTCGGCGAGTGTATCGAGCAACACCGTCAACCGCGATTGAGCGGTGCTTCCACCTTGAAGTTTCCTAACGAAGTTTCCTACCACTTGAGAAGTGACAGGACAGCCTTGTAATTTCAAAAGAATTAAAAGAATACATAAAAGCGTTTCGCACATAAACCTACTCACCCAGCTTCTCACTCATGTACCCAGCAATTTGACTGGACGAGGTATTGCTGTCATGCATTGCAGCCACTGTGTTCACAACAGCACCACGTGTTGGCAGATCCTTCATTCCAGCTGTAGCGGCCGCTTCCTCAGACGCATGATTGTGCAAGCGTCACTCACTGTGAGCGCCGAGTCGATGACGTGGGAGCTCACCTGCTAAAGCCACGTTCATGAGCTCGAGGTCAAATCGAGCCGGACATCCGGTGAAGTTCACGGTGGAGTTCCTTTTACCCACACCACGACGCTTTTGGAAGACACCATGCTTACACCGGTAGTTCAAAAAGAACTTGTGGAACTGGTCTGTCGTAATGTTCGTATTGTGTTTCCTAGATAACAGCGTAACAATTAATATAGCGTCGATGACCACAAATGAAGCGTCGTACCGATTGTACTCGTCAACGTCCTTAGACGTGCGAACACGATAGTACACGCGCTGCGTACGGCAGTAGTCTGCATACGCAACTTCCCAAGACTTCCAGGTTGCGTAGCCTCTCCGTGGAACTGGCCCGACGTAATTTTCCACATTGGTGTGAGAGGCAATCATTTCCTCTCGCTCCTTCTTCGTGCTGCTGCTGCGCACACGTGGTTGTTTGGGTTCAGCAAGCTGAAGGTGCGGAGGTAGTTCCTCGTCGCTGCTCTCCTCCCTCTTGCTGTTTTCAATGCAGGTCTCACTCTTATCCTCAACCTCGTAAGACGATGAAAGGCTTCTGTCGACTTCGTGGGGCGAGTACAGACGGAGCTTTTTCGTCGACTGCGAAGAGGGACCGGCTTTTGATGGACTGCTCTTTCGTTTAGTACCAACTGCCAGAAGCAACGTTATCAATAGCAACGTTAATCACATTACGGCAAACATAAAGCAACTTTAAAACATAACAAGCACTACCCTTGACTTGACTGCCAGCGTTTCCGCGCACTTGGTCGCCATGGTTGCCTTGGCAACGCAATCCACATTCCGCGCGCGGAGAAGCACCGCTCATGCCGCCAGCATCCATGCCACCAGCTGCATCATTTGCGGGATCTGGCATAGGTTCTAATTTATTACACAGGGTACGTAACGTTAGAATAGAGCAACATTAACATGAAGCAACGTTAAAATTTCACAAACGTTATCCCCTGTAGCATAACTCACCGTTGCCGTCCTCGCTTCCAATCGCACCACCCTTGTTCGCAACGTCCGTTCTTGACGGACCCTCGATCACGGACTTGCCGCGCTTGTCGCTATCACTCTTGTCGCCAGACAACTGTCGTGCACCTGGATCTATGCACACAACCATACCAATCACAACCGCTCTGTTAACGACACAACGATAAACATAGGCGAGCGACAAAAGCAGTTTCGCAGCACACACACCCTCGTAATCTCGATCAGTTTTACCCTTCATGGCACCTCCGACTGCCGGGTCATCTTCGTTTCCGCCCCCGCGGTCTGCACCCTCACACACAACCTCAAAGTCGGCACCTGCGTCGTCGCGAAACCCTGTCGCATAATTGTCTGTGTTATCCACGCAATCTATAAAAATGTTAATACAAAACTTTAAATCAGAGCAACGTTAGGTTCCGCAACGTTATTAAAAGTACAATACAAGCCTGCGTCTTTACCGGCCCATTCATCAACCTGACGCGCACCCTCGTCACCAACGCCAACTTTGCCTATCGAGGCTTCTCCGAGCGTCGGATACTCTCCGTCTCTGCCTCTTGTCATTACCACCTGTGTTGCCGCCCAAATCTGGCACCGTTTTGGCTGTGCTATTCACACAATATCATAGCGTTAGTAAAGCAACAATAAAGAAAAGCAACGTTAGCTTCAAGCAACGTTAGCTGCAAGCAACGTTAGCTGCAAGCAACGTTAACATCAAGTACGAAACTACTGGGGTCCTTACGGGCGACCTCTTCATCGACGTGACGCGCAGCCGACACAAGTTGGTCCATACATGCGCCAGGTGCGCTTCTGGCGACAGTGGTGTTGCTTCCCGTTCCACCAGCGAGAGCACGCCCTCCACGTCCTCCGCTAGCACCCACATCGCCTTTCCGAGACGTATCTATAGCGTAACAATGAAAACGGTTAGATGAAGAAATGAGTTTGGATAGACGCGCAATACACGAACCGCTGTCAGCCGCGTCAACGACTTCGCTTTCGATGACCGGCTCCGCACGAGTGCTAGCGGCATTGAAACTGTCGCTTGAGTCACGCTCACTATCGTGAGCTGAAAGACTGGGTGGGACCCCGGCATGCTCACCGCCTTCTTCTTGGGCGCTCCCTCCCGTACCCGCGGGCCCGTTCGTGCAAACTCAAAAAACGACAAAAAAAGTGAGCTTTCTTTTTGCTACTCTATACCCAGTTCGAGCTGCAATTCATTTAGGAGCGCAGTACGGCAAGGGTCCACAAGAATATTCCGGCACCGAAGCCGACGTGTCATTAGTTGATTGGAAGATGGCTGTCGTGGTGTCGACGATGTTGCTCGAAGGTCGCAGAATTGATTTGTAGACGAATTGCGATCCTGCAGGCTGATGACGATGTTATGGCACAACTTGTGCTCTGCTGTGCATGAAACCAAACGTCAACGCGAGCTATATTCACCCTTTTCACCTGGTTGACAACAAAATGGTGGTGCAGCCGCCGCGCCGACAAACTACATTTACTAGTGTAACACACTACACATTCAGAACGAGGGGGCGTCCACCCAAAAGCGACGGGGCAAGTGCGGCGCCCACAGCGGCGTCGGCGGCGGTCTGCAAGAGTAGACTTTGTGGCTGAGCCAGGCGCCGTACCAGGAACCGCTGCAACAGCTCATTCCGCACCAGTGCGTTGCCCGTGCCGATCATCCTGCCGTCCGTCGCACACATGAAATTTCAGTTAGCGTGCGCAGTACAGCAATGCAGGTCAAGCAAGACGTACGGTTGAGCGGATATCAGAGACTGCAGCTCTGTGGGGATCATGGCGAAGAGGTTGTCCACGAGGCCGCGGCACAGTGCAGCGCTGATATCGCCCATGCTCCAGTTGTTCATGCGCAGGTTCACGATACTACCGGTGGCGTCAGGATCTGCGCGCTCGCCGTTAAGCGTCGGCGCGAACGTAAGCTCCGTCTCTTCACGCTGCAGTCCCAATCCGATCAATCGGGAGTAGATTTCAGCCTCGCGTTGTGCCTGCTGCTCTTCGTTGTCGTCGTTGTTTGCTGGGGTCAGTCCCATTTCCTTGGTCCATTGCTGCCACTGCTGTACCAACCACGCAAACGTGTTGCCACTGCATGCATCACACAGATACGTCAGTCAAGAGCAGACGTACAATTATATCAAGCACGAAACGAACCCGGAAAGCGACGCCGCAACGCCCAGATAGCGGTCTTCGGTTAGGAACGGCCGCACTTCAAAGCTGGACTTGTCCTGGCTTGGAGTTTTTGAACTGGAAGACAGCTTCGCAACGTCTGCGCCAGTCAGAACCATGGCCATCTGAGCCGACGTGCCGATGTTCACCACTGTTTAGAGAAAAATCAAGCACGTCAGTCGCATTAGAGCTTATCTCGAAAATTTGATCAATCCTACGCGTTATATTGGACTCGCTTCCAGGCTGCGACTGACGTTTGGACAGAGCTGCCAACACAGAGCACGGGTGGTCACCCATGGGGACACATACGGGTTTACTCGCAGGCAGTCCGAAGCCAGCGTGTCCCGTTGAACTGTGGCCAACACAGGTGCCCGGCTTCTTCACAGCAGGCAGCATCGACGACGGGATCCGCAGTGCACGCAAAACTCTATTGTCCCAAGTCCGAGTCTGCAGATTCAGGCCACCCCAACTATGAGCATCGGTAGTGTCCATAAACGTCTCACTAGGAAGAGTATGACCACACAAAACGAACGCCACAAAGTCGTGGATCGTCCCGCAGGCATCCATACCCACCAGCGTGCGTGGAGAGTTCTCTAACGTGTGTGCGAATGACGCTAGTCCGTATCCAGCGGCAAGTTTACAGGGCGGTGAAGCATTCCCTGTGGGTTTAGAGCGAGCAATCTTGATCTGACAGTTTTCCAAGAACGCAGGCGAGCAGCGCTGATCCTGCCACGTGATAAGTTCGCTCCATGCAGGCTCGTACGTGTCGTCATCGGGGTGACCTCCTGTCGCTAGCAAGCGCTCAGCTGCTTCGTGTACCGCACGACTGCACCACCACAAAATACCGTGCATTTGACCACAGATACCTATCGACGTGACTCGCCTTCGTGCTGTTTCAGGTAGCAAACTCACGACGCCTTGTACTGCCAACAGCACTTGGTCCACATTCTGCACTCCGATTCTATTCTCCACAACGTCTTCACCAGGTTTAGTCGGTACGGTCACATCAGCGAGAGACACGTTGGCCATGGCAATAGTCTGGCCGCCTTCGGCTTTCACCACGACACATTTAATTGCTGTAGTGCCGATATCTAGCCCAAAGAGCAAAGAACTGTCGTCATTTGGCTCGTATTCCAGCGCATTGGACTGCTCGATCGCAGGCTGCAGCTCTCTGGAGGGCGGTACGGGCGCCGTAGACTGCCCTACAGGTGCTCTAGACTCTGTAGAAGTAGTATCGACACTCGTCATAGATGTTGTCGCACTGCGTCGCGTCGATCCTGCGGCCGATCCTGTGTGTGTGAAGCCGTGTCGCTCCACGAATCTCTGGCAGAGTCTCGCGAGTGCTGCTTGACCGCTCTCGGCGCTCTTCTTTCCTGACATGTAGCCCTCTAGCCACTGCGCGTGGCTCTGTCTGATGTAGTCGATCATGTGCGATGACGTCACGTCCCTTCCCTCGCGTCGTCCCTCCTCCAGGAACGCGCTGAGCTCCCGCCCGAAAGGCAGAATCTCACGGCGGCCCGAGCGACCAATAGATTTGCGTGTGTCTGGTCCCTCGAAGCTGTTGATCTTGTCTGCGTCGTCCAGCCAGTGGCGTAGTGTACGACGTGGTATGCCTTCCATCCGACAAACCTCGCGTACACCCGCTATTTTCGCTAGAGCAATGAGCTCGCGCTTTTTCTTAACCGAGTAGTTGGCGCGCTGCTGAGCCCGCTGTCCGGCGGAATCTGCACTTACTTCGGACGCGTCTCCTGCTGCTCTTGGAGACTCGATCGAAGTCACTCTTGTATTGTCAGATAGAGCTACACTTTCACTTCCTAGTACATCAGCACTCTGCGTCATGGTCACATCAGTGTCCGCTCCAGACGCTGCCACAGGTGCCGCCTCCATGCTCGCTTCAACCTCCGTCCCAGTAAGCGATGAGGAAAGGAAAATTGGGCTATCTGATTCGTTGAAATCTCTTTTAAAAGTTGCAGAGTCTTACTATTGAGGCAAAGATTTTACACCGGGGGTCAATATGACAACTCGAAGGAGTTACACGGCGGCCTTCAAGATGTCGGTGGTGCGCGAGTTAACGGAGACTTCTCCATCGCCTTCCGTACGCTCACTGGCGCAGCACCATGGTGTGACGTCGTCCATGATCCGCAAGTGGCTCAGCAACCGGTCGGAGCTGGAAGCGGCAGTGGCGCTGGACACCACGGGCCGGAAACTCGGCAGTGGACGTCGCCCCAACGCTGCTATCGACTCGGCGCTGCTGCAGTGGGTGAATAGTCAACAACAGAGCGATAAGAGTATCACAGACCGGGAGATGCAGGAACAGGCCAGGCGTATCGCCGAGAGGCAGGGCGTCCAAGGCTTCCACGCATCAAATGGCTACATCTACAGCTTCAAAAAGAGGAACAAACTGTCTGCGGGCACTCTGAACAAGAAACAGAAGGCGAAATCAGTGGGAGTCTCTGTGCAAGTGAGTCCGGGGGCGGAGACTTTCGAGAGAGACTGCATGTTCGGCATGGACATCGGTCTGAAGAACATCAAGTGCGCCTTAGTGTGTGCCACGTCGGGGAACATCTTGGCCACGTCCAGTGCGTCTATTCAGCACGACGCCAAGTCGCAGGAGAGTGAACAAAACGTGACCAACATTCTGCTAGCGGTGCTCACTGCGGTGCAAGCACTACCGACATCCCTACGACGCAGTATCCGCTCGATTGGCATCTGTGGAGTCGTGAGTGGCAGCTTGTAATTAACTTTGAGGGTCTAAAAGCTCACGCGTCTTGTGTGGATAGATGCATGGGATCGTGTGGTGGCGCTGCGATGCTGTTCGGCAGGCAATGAGCGAGATCCAGACGGGGAAAGGCACGGCCAGGAGCTGGCCCTGGAGTACCTACATCACGTTCTTAGACCAGCGCTGTACACCGACAATGTTGACCGAGTGGAGAGCCAAGATTGAACTGGCAAACGCTGCAGCCACAGCGACTCCGTTCGGTCTTGAACCTCTCGATGTCAGTGCGTCGACGTCGCCCATTGCGTCGGGATATGGCCTCGCTACATTTGCATACATGCTGGAGAGACAACCGAACGACATTGCAGGCTATGACGCGTGTGGAACTATTCAAGACTTTATAGCGTTTGCATTGTGTGGACACTCCATCCCGACTCAAAACTGCATGGACGTCACGGATGCCTTCAGCTGGGGAGGCTTCGACATCAACACGAAGACGTGGAATCCTCACACGTAGGTAGCAGATGTCCAGTATTACAATATGTGTCTGATAACTCACTTGTATTATTCATCAGCGTACAGGCACTCAATCTTCCAGCACAAATGCTACCGACAGTGAAGGCTCCAGGTGCGATTATTGGCCAGAGTTCGGAGGTTGCTGCAGTGCTCGGCCTACTTAAGGGGAAGCCCGTATATTTAGCGATGGGTGATCATCCTTGCGCTGTCATGACGGCCATGGCACAGACGCGAGGACCTGCAGATCTCAACCTCTCGCGGACGTCAGGTGCGCATGTCAACTGTTGATCATGAGTCTTTTATTGCTGCTTATACGTTACTTCTACAGTCTTGAGCATCGGTTCGGCATCCCAGTTAGCTATGGTGTTAACAGAGGAGGACGCGACGCAGCTGAAACGATCGCGTGGAAGCTGCTCGCTGACCTTCGAGGTGAGGCCGTTCTTGTCCGAGAATTGGTATCTAGGCGTCGCTGGATCGTTATCCGGGTACGTTGCATCGTATAAACTGTCGAAGTGAGCTAACGAATATGGTTTATGGGCCTCAGTGGCAACATCTTTGCGTGGTTCGTGAAGCAGTGCCAGGCGTGGAGTCGTCAATTGGCAGTGAATCCAACAGTCGAGCATCTATCAGATGATGCAACGTACGCGCGCTTGATTTCTCTGGGCGGCACCAAGCTTGACACCGATCTCAAGTTCTCACCAACGTTGTACGGGGAATGGGCATCACCGGACGTGCGAGGTAGTATTGACCAACTACGCATCAGCAACTGGTCGCTCGGTGATATCAGCGCTTCTGTCTGTCGCGGTCTGGTCGACAACATTTTCTCAATGGTCCCCGACGACCTGCGCACCGACCTGCTCCAGCAACCGTACGTAGCCATCCTCTTCTTGGGTTAAACACGGCAACTTATACTTACGCCGCAGGATGATCGGAACGGGAAATGCTCTGGTTCGCAACAGTCTCCTACAGCATTTCCTTGGACAGAAGCTAGGGCATCCTTCTCAGCTATCCATTCAGAGCACAGCAGACGCTGCCGTAGGCGTCGCTTACATCCCGTCACTACTGCTGAAATGAGTGTCTGATGCTCAATTTAAGGCTGTTTTGTGGTCAAGATGGGAGAATAATTTCATTGAAAAAGGAAGAAGAAGACCTACAAACTACTTCTCGAAAACCTGTCTTCAATGTGTCGCTGCTTTGAGCTCGTGGCTGCCAGTTGATCACGAAGCCAACGCGTTTCGGGGCAAAACGTTGCGTCGCTCTAGGTCACGTGCTACCAAGTCAACGCGCACACCCATGTTGAACAGCTCCGTGGACGTTGACTGCGCAGTCTCGGAGTTTCCGGCGCGATGCAGGGCCACAACGGTGTTGTCTTTCCGACTCAGTACGGGTGAACCGGACGAGCCAGGCTCCGTGTCGGCATTGTACCAGACCGTCGGCTGGATACTGCGTGCGTCACTGCCACGAAAATGTCGAGAGGAGTCGATCGAGCTCGACGCAGATATTTCAATCACGGCAGGTTTCCCTTCTTTCGTTGCAGCGATCTCCTTGGGCTCACCACGTGGATGTTGCGGGATGTAGATGGCTTCACCGTCCTTGGGACCTGCAGCACGGAGGCGAAGATAGCCATAACGTCGCGCCAATTCTGTCGCCGAGCCATTCGTGAGCACTCGTAGCAGAGCGTAGTCTAGCGCCGGGTTTTCAGTGATCACCGAGACGCGCGTGGCTTCCACAATGCCAACTTTTTCACCCATGAAGCCTGCGTCCCGACACGACTTGGTCTCGGCCATGAAGCCTACCACGGCTTCTACAACACGACCGGCTCTGTTTGGTAGAGAAGAAGTACCGCTACGAGGCCAGAATTGGCTGATGACACTGGACAGCACTCCTTCCGTCCGATCTCGATCGACGACAACGGCGTCTTTGATGCAGTGGTGGTTGGTGAGCAAGTAATTGCCTCGTCCTATGAGCCAACCAGTGCAGAACGACCAGCTTGTTACTTGTTCCGAACCCTCTGCACGTTGCTCCTCCTGAGTGCGGATCATCAGCCTCGCCACAGCTCGAGCCTTTGCATACATTTTGGGCTGCGTCTTACGAAAGCAAACGGCTTCTTTGGCTTCATCCTTAGCTCCAACTGTGCTTTCCGTGTCGACGCCGACCATTGAAGAGCTGTACGTGACGTACAGATACGAGTCCATTACTACTACGGGGCTATCACGTCTTGGAACGACTGGGAGCATCAGTGTCGGAATACTCGGGATGTATTCAATCACGACTGTATTGCCTTTGATCAAGAACGGGTGCGTCCGTAGCAGCACCGAATACGGCGATTCGTTGCTGGTCTCAATTGTCTGCGCCGGGTGGAAGGCTGCCGTGATATTAACAGACATGGAGCCACTCGGATCTCGCACGACGAGTTTGTCCCTGGGAAACAAGTTGAGTTGCTGGAAATTGACAGCAATGAAAGTTGCGCCAGGCTGGACGATCCGAAGTGTTGATGGAGGCTTCTTGTTGCTGGGGTACATGCTCCATTCCTCTCCAGCGACGGGATGAAGAACGACGACTGCGTCGGCAGCTTGAGATTGCTGGGGTAATCCAGTCACATGTTGCTCGTTCACGTGCACTCGTACTTGCAGCGACCACAGTGATAGTAGTAACAAGAACATCCATGTCGAAACCATCTCGACAAAACTGCAAGTTTTGAAGACACCGTTAAGATTTTCTTCTGCGTGTGCTGGGACAGGTAGTTTTTGATCGTAAGAAATAAAACGTAGTTTACTTTTTTCTCGTGTTTAAGCTGAAAACTCTGACAGGGTTCGCTGCTGGTTGCACAGCGCACAAGCCTGCTTTAAAGACGTTTAGTCTTACGTTGATAAGATCCAAGTAAATAGGAATGGACTACCGATGCATGCTGGGTGTGTAAGATAAATTGATGCTGGCGAGCAATGTGACTTTCTCGATACGTGGAGAAGTGACTTCGCTTCCTTCAGTCTTGGCGTAACGGTGAGCTGCCGCTGTCCCTGCATGTTTCACTTCTTCGACCTTGAGTAAGTAGAGCACATTATAGCAGATCCGAAATACGACAAATTGAACGAGGGTGAACCCGAGGCCAAACACTTGGCTGTACTGTACCACCAACCGTCTGATTGATCGCCGGTTGTCGACGGGAACAAGCCTTATAATGGGGGGGGGTTCTTGGTCGCTCATATGGATTGAATGTACAATTCCAAATGCTAGTAGGTAGTGCGATACCAGCACTGTCATAAGATGAAGCAGCTTTTGCATCCTCTGCGGAGCTTACTGCAATTGAGCTCGCCTTGGACTCAACCAAAGTGAGTGGCTGTTTCGGCGTCAGGTGATTGACACTCGTTGGACGACGACATATATTAGCTCATGGACGAACCAATTGACGCTTCGCCTCGGAGCACGTATAGCTACCACAAATATTGTTTTCTCGACACTGGCAATCGTCTGAGCTTTCAATGTTCACCTCGTCGCAGAACGTTGCGCACGGAGCTAATGTACTGGCAGCCCTCGTTGTTGTACACAACTGTACCAAGTAAACAAGCAAGCGACACTGTCACCATGAATGCCGCAACAATGTCCTTGGAGCGCATCCAGGGGTCGCACAGGTGCGGCCTCGATACAACAGTCCATAAGCCCCATATAATCGTTCTTAGCGCAGAGGAGTTACGCATGCACCGTCGTTCTGCACGAACGACCCGAATGACACCAAGAGTGTAGATGCACCATGTAACAGTGGACATTTGATTTGTCACGACTTGCTTATCGACGATCCCGCGGCGTTTTTAGGAAAGTAAACCCGCGCAAGCAGGACAGCAGAGCCAGCCAGGACGATTGCGAAAACGTGTAGTGGGGCGATGGTCTTCAGGACCTGACCACGCACTGTGCTGGCGGCCGAGGACGGTCGCAGCAGGAGCTGGCGTAGAATAAGACTCAGAGGTCGGAGACTTGAGGCATATACTTAGACGATGATGTAGGAGTAGCCGGAGATAGTCTCAACTATCTCATTCTGGATTTTGCAGAGTACAATACAAGCAAGAGTTTAAAGGAAGCGCCAGCTTCCCTCGCAAGTGTGTTCAATCGGATCCCACTACAAAGTTAACTTTAGTTTCCAAAGGAAACGACATGAACAACGAAGCAATTACGACGAGTGCAACCGCTGACGCTGCTGCAGCAGCGACGCAGCAGATTGTCGGCGCTGCCGGACCGACCCTGCAGACCACTAGCACAAGTCGAGCACTACGGCCAAGGACAACGGTCGGTTCCTCAACGGAGCAAGCGGGTCAAGCCAAGCCAACGCAGAGCAAGGGCAAGAAACCCGCGCGCAATGTAGGCGAAAGCATGACACGACGATCTGGAGCTCCACCAGCTCCTAACAGGTCAAGCACTGGATCAATGTCGAGGACTGCGAACCTGGAGCCGGACTACCCCACGGTGGCCCATACGATCTTTGCGGTCACTGTGGCGCCGAAGGTGGAAGATATCTCGCATAAAGCGCTTACCCAATGGGTAGATCTACGTCTGGAGTACGAAGAGATCATGAGGGCGCGCTGTGATTCGTCAGGAGAAGACTTGAAGTCCGTCATGCGTTCTGTGAAGAACTCGTTCGACGACAGCTTCCTCGAGACGTTGTGTAGGACAAAATGGGAGAAGACAAAAGATGAACTTACCGATGCGTTTATCTGGAACTGGGTCATGGATACAGTACGAAACTTCAAAAACAAAGCTCTATCAAACATTGACGAGTTGCTCCAAGACCAGTTAGTAATGTCAACAACCAAGTCGGATATCGATGCACGAGTTATGGACTACTTCCACCTGTGAACACGATTGTGAAAATCAATGGATTAGCTACTTTGTTCTCGGATGAGGAAGGTACTAAGAAGAAGTGCAAGGTGCTATTGAATAGCCTGCCTGGAGAATTAAAGAATCGAGTGAAAAACGAGATTGACTTCAGATTTCCGGGTGCTAAGTCCAACGTGTCGGTACTGTTCAAGATTGTGAGTGAGAAGGCCTTGGAGATAGACCGTGAGGTCAAAGCTTTGTCAAGAAATAAAAGGCGTTCTCGGGCGGTGGAATTGAAGCAATCAGCAACCACACGACCGTCGAAAATAGCTAGACTCGGTAAGCGAGCCGTTCGCGAGCCTGGAACTCAGGCTGCACCGCGGATATTTCGGACCAAATCGGAGAAGAACCATCCCGGGCCAAAAGGAGGTTGCTGGACTTGTGGTGGCCAGCACCGGCAAGTCGAATGCCCCGAAAAAGCCGAGGACGACGCTGCCGCTACCAGGAAGCCGAAAAAAGGGAGGCAACGTAAGCCTAAGAAGGATTAGCGAGTGTTTACCTGGTCGAGCGGGACAAACCCGATTTCTACGTGTCGGTGGCGTTGTCGATGTGGAATATTGTGCAGACTCTGGAGCAGAGACATCGTGTATCAGCTCCACGACTTTAAAGAAAATTAAAGAACAAGGTGTGAAGTGTGAGGTTGAGCGGTTAGGAAACCCGATCGAGTGCAGACTACCTGGCGGTGAGAAGATGTGGGCTCATGAGACGACAAAGTTGAAGCTGGCGCTCATGACAGCAGCGGGACCTGTTAATATCCATAAACCTGTGCCGTGTCTGATACTGAAAAATAAGGATGATGAATTTCTACTTGGAGATGATGTGCTAAAGTTTTTGGGCATTGACGTCGAGAAACAGTTGGAGCTATTGGCAACACCAAACTGCAATGATGGAGATGATGACGAAGAAACGCCTGATGTGATGGCAGGAGGCAACGACGCTGAGGACATCCGAGTCGCTGTTGAGGCAATGCTCCAGCGGGCTTTGGAGGAAGGGTTTCCCGCTGATAAACTCGAGCGGTTGCGCACAATTGTGCATGCGTACGATGTCTGGAGACTCGTACTCGGCAATGACCCCCCTGCAAAGGTCGAGCCGATGAAAATTAAGATGAAGACGGGCTGTCGACCATACAAGGCGAAGGCTCGCAAGTATGCGCCGGAATACCAGGCGTTCCTCGAGTCGTTCAACGATATGCTCGTCAAACTGGGGTGGGTGTACGAGAACCCCACCAGTCGGTGGGCCTGTGCTGCTTTACCACTGCGCAAGCGTGGTGATGGTGGTTTTCGCCAGACTGTCGACTACAAACCTTTTAACGCTCAGACAGAGGTTATAGCAGGTCTGATGCCAAACCTTCACGTGGATTTGGAGAAAGTTAGAGGTAGCAGACACTTTGGACTGTTCGACTTCATTAAAGGTTACTGGCAGCTACTCCTCGCCAAAGAGTGCCAGGAACTGCTCTATATGACCCACAGAAAGATCTACACCCCAACTAGAGTTCCGCAAGGAAGTGCGGACGCAGCCTTGTATTTTCAGTCAACGATCGAGAGATGCTTTGCGGCGCTGTTATACAAGCACCTGCTAGTCTGGATAGATGACTTACTGCTGTATGCTGTGGCTATCGACACGTACCTCGACAAATTGCAGAAGCTGCTACAGCTCACGGCGAAATTCGGTTTCAAGCTAAGTGTAGCCAAGTCCTGCCTGTACAAGCGTGAAGTAAAATGGTGTGGAAAGTTGATAGATGGTGAAGGTGTGAACCATGACCCTGAGCGAATAGAAGCTCTACGTAGCATGCCCAAACCGTCGAACGCTGGTGAACTTCAGCAGTTTCTCTGTTCTACGAACTGGATGAGAGACAGCATTATGGACTACGCCCGATTGGCACGTCCACTGCAGGACACACTGGATAAGGCAATGACTCAGGCTTCCCGGCGGACCAAGCGAGTGGCAGCGGGTATACCGATCACACTTACCGAGAAGGAATGCGAGGCGTATGATGCGGTGAAGCAGGCTCTGGCTGACACGGCCACCCTGGCGTTCTCAAAGCCAGACAGCGAGATGGTCCTGCTGACGGATGCCTCAGACATTGGATGGTCAGTGATTGTATCGCAAGTGCCCAGTTGGAAAAGTGATGCAGACATCCAGGACCAGCAGCACGAGCTGCTTATCTGTCTTGGTGGTACTTTCACTGGTGCACAAAAGAACTGGAGTGTCATAGAGAAAGAAGCCTACCCAATTATCATGGCTTGTGACAAGCTCAGCTATCTGTTGCTACGGCCGCGTGGATTTCGCATGTATTGCGACCACCGCAACCTGATACATGTCTTCGCCCCAGGTCGTGAAGATGTTCGTGGAAAACTGCTGAGATGGTCAATGAAGTTGATGGAGTATCGCTACACTATCGAACATATTGAAGGGACACACAACACTTGGGCTGATATGGTATCTCGATGGGCAGGAACACGCCCTTCACCCAGTGTTACTGTAAAGCATATCACCTTGCGGCGCCAACGTGACGAAAACCACAGTGACGAACCTTTCGGTAGGACATACGCCATCTCGGTGCCGATTCGGCCATTTAGTGATGGAAATTTTGCGTGGCCAACAGTCGAAGAGCTGCGTGTAGCTCAACAACGGCACATTGTGGATCGCCCGAAGG